TATTGATCCAAGTTAAACTAAAACGCTGTAAATAAATTCACCTATATAAACTTTGCCGAGCAAGGTTCACAAGTCACAACGAAGCGTGTTTACATGTCGCCGTCTTGTTAACAAATTTTCTTCGCCATTATTGCTCTGAATTTCATGACATTACGTGTACATGTAGCCAAAAGTTGCCTGGTTGTTTTGCTGTAGATAAAAGTTATGGATGGATGTACCCTGGGAGCAGATGTTTTCTGGAGGCGACGAGGCGGAGAAAACCTCTGGGCGCGACCTGTCGAATTTCATTTCCATGACGTAATTTATTAATGTTTCACACTTCCGGTCTGAAGGGTGTAGTCCAGTACGTATTCAAAAGTATTCAACAAAAACATATTCCCCTGACCAATTTTGTTGTGTTTGCCAATGTTACATTAATTGTTGTATTCGGAAGAAGAAAATGTAATATTTTCTCTGCCACTGGGAAGATTTCCAATAAACTGGCGCATCGACTGTCTATTTTGGACACAACGTATCGGCAAATCTGTCTATTCTAAGCAGTTTCAAGTTACAAATTCAAAATACAAGCAGCAATCGAGTACATACCCCAATACTTGCATGTGAAATATAAAGTAATGACAGTTATTGAATTATTACTTTCAGGTTTGATGATACAGAACGTTCTATATCTGTTTAGGACTTTACATTGTGTATATTTACATATCAAAATATATAATATATTTAGTCCAAATGCCTTGCCACGACTACCCTGGCCCAGAGGTTTTTTTAGGTTTGGCGAACGCGAAATGCGAGAAAACGCGCGAAGAAAAAGGAAAAACCTCTGGTGAATTTGTTAGCGATTCCTGGTTCGGATAAAGAATGCAAAAAATGTATAATGGCTTAATGCATCATATTCTAAAAATATTATCCAATCATTATCCTTGACGCCAGGCCGTCTAGACAGGGTTTTATCGCATGATTACTGTGCAGTGTATGCCTGCCCATTTGTAGCAATATTCATTCTCCTGAATTTCATTCAATTTAAAAGTTAAAACATCACATCTATTCAATTTAATATAAATATATATTTATATTCATTCGCTTTAATCTTGCAATATACATTCAATTTAATCCTGCAATATACATTCAAAAAAATCTGTATTTTATAAATTTATTAAACACACCTCTTTGGGCCGACGTGAACTTTGTCTGTTAATACAAAAGCAAGCAAATTTGTCTTGTAGATTTCAAATGAAACCATTGCTCTCCATTTCGCATGCATTTCGAATAATAGACTCGGGATTACAAAATGCGAATGTAAACTCTCCATCTAGTATTGCATTCTCGTCCTCTTCGTTTGACAGTGAAGTAACACGGCATCCACGCTTTCTTAGTTCACGGACGTGAGAGTCAATGAAAGAGTTCAATTTGCAAATGACTATTAAGATGTGGCTTTTGCCAAGTCGTCGTGCTACTCTCGGTGTTAGAACTTTGGAATATTAAACTCTTCCCATAACCGATAGCAAGATGCAAATACATCTTTAATGTGAATCAAATTGGACAAGGCGCGGTATTGATGCTCCGTTAAACTTTTAATTCAGGAAATTTATCAATCTATCTATTAATGCAGCCTATAAAACTGCTTCTTTCAACTTTTGTTCGTTGATTTAATAATATAGACATTTCAAAATTCAAATGTTTCAATTCAATCAAAACACGAAACGCCTGCGAACAGGCTATGATGTTTACAATATCCAATCAGAACACGTAGTCTATCGAACCTATAGTCAGCAGCCAATCAACTCTTTGCTTCCATTTTTGAAAGTTATGTGTGGAATGTGAACCCAAAAACTACGCCAATTTCACCAGAGGGTTATTCAAACAGGCGAAAATAAATACCCTCTGGTTCCAGGGTATGCCACAACTGAATTTTTGTTCATAAATATTCATGAATTCCACAATACGGGCTACACAATTTTAAAACAACAAACTACATGAAAAGCAATTGAACATACACAGTACAGCATACAGTCCAGGCTGTACAGCACGTACACGACCACATACACACACAAAATTCCGCTCAATTACTCGACATATATACAGAATCATCGCATCATCATAGCGTGATATTAATATGTCTGCAATGACGCTATTTGATCTAACTGTTTAGGAATAACATGAACTTCATCTGAGACGACAACCAACAAATTCTCCTCATAAACGTTTCCACGAACAATCGCTTTTTGTTCACGAAATGCACTCACTTTTCGAATTAGTCTAGGACCTGTCTATGAGTTTGTATGCATTTCATTTAGGACAGATAATCTCAACTGTTTTAGGGTAAGTTGACCATGACGGTCAACATGGTAACGCTGCCCGAACCCCAATCCGAGGCGAAACGTCCGAAACTGACCACATCCAAAGACGACGCTTTCGCCATACTGCTATCTATCAAACCATAAAAGCTTTGGCTATTCTGAGGTGCTTATATGGTTCAGAGATGGTACTTTTGGGGGTGTTTATTGGTAAGTGTGAAATGCCTAGCACCAATATTTCACAAGAAAATGGCCATGCAATAATCATAGTTAAACGTCAATTTGTGGCTTGCAAATTCAGATAAACAGCAGTGGTCTTACATTACCTTTTTCCCTAAATCTTTTTGATAGAAACATAAATGGTACTTATTTAAATATATTATCACTGGTTTGGTGTAAAATAGTTAATATTTTCTGACCGAAATAATAATTTGAAATGTGCCTACCTCCTGCAAATAGACGTATTTGCCCAAGTTCTCCACTTTACTCCGTTGTTTATCGGCGATCTCGTCGACATCCTACAAAAAATGTAAATCATCTCAGACATAATGGTATCAAGAACATTTTAAACAAGTTTCAACTTGGTTTCAAGTAGATCATACCTGTTTAACTATCGACAAGGTAAATCCACAACTTTGTCCAAATTCGGCGCCATTTTGTCATCCCATGTCGCTTGTTAACAATTCAGCCTTGTTACTCTTCCATCCAAGCCATTTCCATTCCACTAATGATAAATTTAACCCTTTATAACAGGAGGAAACCAAAAAATCTAAACAAAATATGAGAAATACGCCATTTTATCACCATGTAAAATTTTGCTCACGAGTCTTTCAAAACATTCCGTACAAATATCGCGTGACAAAGTAACAGGGATATGACAGGAGGGCTGGAGGGGGTGAATTATTTCACGAAGATAGAGGGCTGCGTGAAATAGACTAAAAGCTAAATACAGTCATACAAATGTTTGTTTTATTTCTTGTAGCGACAAATATATACATATTATTATTTATTAATATGAAAAAGTCATACAAATTAAATGTTGATTGTTGGTTTTACCATACTGTGTGGGCTTTCCTTTCATTTTTCAAGTCTCTACCCCCCCTGTCACGTCCCTGTTGCTAAACCACGCGAGATTTGTACGAAATGTTTTGAAGGACTCGTAAACAACATTTTACAGGGTGATAAAATGCGTATTTCTTGTATTTTGTTTAGATTTTTTAGTTTCCTCCTGTTATAAAGGGTTAAATTTATTATTAGTGGAATGGAAATGGCTTGGATGGAAGAGTAACAAGGCTGAATTGTTAACAAGCGACATGGGATGACAAAATGGCGCCAAATTTGGACAAAGTTGTGGATTTACCTTGTCGATGGTTAAACAGGTATGATCTACTTGAAACCAAGTTGAAACTTGTTTAAAATGTTCTTGATACCATCATGTCTGAGATGATTTACATTTTTTGTAGGATGTTGACGAGATCGCCGATAAACAGCGGAGTAAAGTGGAGAACTTGGCCAAATACGTCCATTTGCAGGAGGTAGGCACATTTCGAATTATTATTTCGGTCAGAAAATATTAACTATTTTACACCAAACCAATGATAATATATTTAAATAAGTACCATTTATGTTTCTATCAAAAAGATTTAGGGAAAAAGGTAATGTAAGTCCACTGCTGTTTATCTGAATTTGCAAGACACAAATTGACGTTTAACTATGAGCGGGGTGATAGACTTAGGGATTAGTGATCACAACCTTGTATACATTTGCCGTAAAGTGAGTATCCCTAAACAGCCTCCAAAAATAGTCGAGACAAGGCAATTCAAAAATTTTAACACGGCAGCGTTCCAGAATGACTTACAGGAAACATTTAAAACGTACAGGCTTTACTGCTGAAGCAAACACTGCATGGAATGAATGGAAAACAATTTTTCGAGACGTTGCCAATACTCATGCACCTATTAAAACCCGCAGAGTTAAAAATGCTCATGCACCATGGCTAACAGATCAAATTAAATCTCTTTCCTATCAAAGAGATGATCTCAAAAAGAAAGCCGTCAGATTAAACTCTGAATACTACCATAAGGCTTATAAAAAATGCCGAAATCAAATTACGAAACTCATTAAGAAATGCAAAACTGAATATTTTAATGCCAAGCTGAAAGATTGCAAAAATAGTAAAGAGTGTTGGCAAACTATTAATAAACTTTTAAATAAACACTCCAAATCCACTACGGTTAATAAAGTGGAGGTCAATGGGATTGACATAACTGGTGATGTAAATATAGCCCAGGAATTTAACGACTATTTTTGTTCAGTTGGGCCTACACTAGCTAGTAACATCCCCATCACAAATACTGATCCTTTGAGTTATGTCACTCCAGTGTCAACTTCATTTGAATTTCATGCCATAACCTATGATGAGCTAATAAAAGTGGTCAAGAACCTCAAAACTAACAAGTCACCAGGTCTTGATAACGTATCTACAAAATTGGTCAAGGAAGCTGGCGACAGCATAATACCATCCCTAAATCATCTATTCAACCTATCGTTAAGTACTGGAATTTTTCCAGAAGATTGGAAAGTCGCCAAGGTTACCCCTATCTATAAATCAGGTGAAAAATCAGACTGTGGAAACTATCGACCTATTTCAGTAATTTCAACAATTGCAAAGATTTTCGAGAAAATTGTCTATACACAAATACTTGATTATTTAAACGAAAACTGTATCATATCACCAAACCAGTCAGGGTTTCGATCACTCCATTCAACTGAAACTGCACTACTGAGCTTAACAAATGAATGGTTAATAAACATGGACCAAGGTCTCATTAATGGTGTACTATTCCTAGACTTAAAAAAAGCATTCGATACGGTGGACCACAATATTCTTTTATCTAAATTGACAGCTTATGGAATAAAGGGTACAGCACACAAATGGTTTCAGTCATATTTAAGGAAGAGGCAGCAAATATGTAAAATTAACAAAAAAATGTCGGATATAAGAACAATTACCTGCGGAGTTCCTCAAGGGACAAATCTAGGCCCGTTGCTATTTCTCCTTTATATAAATGATCTGCCAAATTGCCTTGTAACAACAAGCGCCACAATGTTTGCGGATGACACAAGCCTATCATGTAACGGACTATCATCCGCAGATATAGAGAGTAAACTGAATCACGATTTAGAAATAATTCACACATGGTTAACCGCAAACAAGCTGACTTTAAACCGTAAAAAAACTGAATACATGATAATTGGCTCACGACAAAAATTAAATTCTATTGGCACAAATACTACAAACATATCAATCGCAGGCGAGCAAATAAGACGAGTTGAAAGCACAAAATCCTTAGGCATAATTATAGATGAACAATTAAAATGGGAAGAACATAACAGTAAACAATGTAAAACAATTTCAGCACGTATCGGAATGTTAAGAAGAGCTAGAGATTTTGTTACACAAGATGTTTTAATTACAATGTATAATTCACTTGTATTTCCTCACTTTACCTACTGCTCAACTGTGTGGCATGGTTTTCGCGCTGATCACATTAATAAATTATATAAGTTACAGAAAAAGGCTGCTCGTGTAATAACAGGATCCAGTTACGACATACGATCAACTAACATTTTTGAAACCTTAAACTGGAGACCTATAAAAGACAACTTAGACGAGCGCGACCTTGTAATGATATTTAAGGCCCTTAAAGGTCTAGTGCCCGACTACCTAATGCAGACAATTAACTTGAACGTAAACGGCAACTATCAATTACGTAGCAACAATAGAAATATTTACCTACCTAAGCCAAAGACAAATTTTCTAAAAAATAGCTTTCCCTATCGAGGAGCTATGAGTTGGAATAACCTACCTAATCATATTATTGATCAAGCATTAATAGAAGATGTCTCTGTCAACCCCTTTAAGAATGTCATAAAACGTATGTCCTAATCCATTGGTCCTAATCTATAGTGTAATTAATTGCATCCATGTAAATAGTTTATGTAAATGGCCTGTTTTTCTCGCTTTTAGATTTCCTTTTTTTTTTCTCTCCAATTATGTAAATATTTTAATGAACTCACGGCCCTTTGAAAAACAGATGTACTTCTGAAAGGCTACCGTGATTAAATAAGATTAAATAATAAAAGGTGAAACAACATTCTGAACATTAAATTTTAAAACTTTGTTATTCTGTGGTAGAAAAAGGTAAAATAAAAAACATGCAGTATTACAGTACAGTAGAATATAGTTATTTTACTCAGGAAAGGCTCATGAAATATATGTTATCTGTTTTTGTTGGTTGTTAAAGGTTTGCCAAAATAATATGGTAAAAGTATGTTGACATTTGTTGAAGTATAAATTGAAGTAATGTACTTACATGTTCATACGTTTTCCCTGTCTTCTTGTGCCTACTTAACGCTCTTGAACAAGAAACACACAACACTCCTGTCTCTTTAAAGTCTTGTCCAAAACAAGCTCTCATATCTTGTAGGAAATTCGCTACAATAGAAAATTTTTTGCTTGTTTTTGTCCCACAAACAGCGCATCCAATTTTACTCCTTATTTTCCGGTGTGGCGCCGAGGAAACAATAGTTATTACGAGGAAGAAATACAAAACCAAATGTAAAAATGTCATTGTGACGAGCTTTTTCATTTTGTTTCAAGTTTTGAAAAGTCTATCTTTGTCTCTAAAAATGTCTCTGTTTTTAAAAGCTTTTGTTTTGAATTTTGGCTTTTAAATTTTGGGCGCGAAATTGTCGGAACGAGTTCGGTGCATAATCGGGTTTTTTCGGTAAACAGTTGTGTGAATGTACACAAATTTGTCAGAACGCAAAAGAACGCATGGTTATTGATCGTTTATAAGCGATTCACTGTCTGGAAATTGGATGTGTATGGAGAGGAGAGCTTTGCTGTTAATTTCAACGTAAAAGCAATTTTTAACGTAGAATGACAGACTGAGGAAACGCCGTATTAAGAGCACAGTTATTATTAATTTATACAAATGGAAAGAGTCTACTTTAATACTACTATGAAGTGCTTGGTGGCATTGGTGGCTGGTTAAGTCGGAAAAGCGGGTAATCTTGCACTGTAAATAATCAAGTAATCTTTGTATAAACTACATACTTAATATGAACACCTTTTCTGATTGGTTTTCTCTGAAACAAAAGTGATTAGTGTTTGACCAGTTCATAATATATATAATAATATTGAAGGATAATTTCTAAATATTGATATATAAAAGACCAATTCCCCCTTCTCAGGCATACCCTGGGACAAAATGGGAACAATTGTCTCCAGTTAATGGGAAATGTGCTTGCTTGAGATCACTAAGTCACAAAAAGTGATTGGTTGAGGAACAAAAGAGAGTGGCTATCTATGACATGACATACAAATAGACATCTATAGTATAGAACTTGTATAGACATAAGTTCTTTGTATGTTTGCATGGCGATAAAACATATAATAATTTTGTTTGTGGAAACACCACGTAAATTTATTACTGCAGTAATAAATTTACGTGGTGTTTCCACAAACAAAACTATTGTATAGACATGTCTAGTATAAACTTGGCAAAATTCACTGTATCACTTATTTAAACAGAACTGACCTTGTAGCTCAGTTGGTAAAGCAAAGGTTGTGCGTTTGATTTTTCGGTAACCACTAACAGGCATTAAATTGTGTGAGGGCCACTGGCAGCCACCTTTTGAATTTTTGCAGGAACATTTTAAAATACTGACATTTAACACTATTTAGGTCACAAAATCCGTTTTTGCAGGCACATTTTGAATTTTGTTCAGGCATCAAAAAATTGATATTAAATTGAAAATGAAATTGTTTGCAGTTGCCATTACTGTCGCTTGCAACTAATTAAGGATGAATGGTCGCAGATAAAGACATTAGTAGTATAGGGAATGAGGGTTCTAGACCACTTTTTCGGCCCGCGATCTCACCCAACTTCCGGTCAGCGGTTTCCATATTTTCCCCAGAAACGCGGGCTCATATTTTTCTAGACCATTTTTTCTTTGTTTTTTTTTACCTCATTTTTCTAGACCATTTTTCTGATCTTTTTTTACCTCATTTTTCTAGACCACTTTTATTTTACTTTTAGATCATTTATTTTATTCCTATTAAATTCTCTAGTATCCAATTTGTGTAAGCTTTTTACTTCCAGGAGTTCTAGCCACAGCGACACCTAATGATTTGAGCTTCTCTTGCAGCACTGCTTTCAGAGTTTCCTTTTCGTCTTTTGGTAGTATGTCGTAGTTTTTCCTTAGGTGATTCTCATCAGGTACGAGTATCCTTAACGGTAATAGTTTTTTGAACTTTGATCTTCTTCGTGGAATCACTACTTTATATTCTGGTCTAGGAATAGGTTTTTCTTCAACTAACGCTGAGTCTTCCCAGAAGGGGCTTTCGTAGAATTCTACTGCTTCCTCGAGTTTGTAGTATTCACTCTGAGGTTCAACCCTTTCTAGTACACAGCTCGGTTCCACTTTTTCTTCAATCACCACCTCAGCCTTTAGATCTCCTATTGAGTGATGTCCGTACGCGTAACTTGTAACACCATCTTCAAGTAAGTACCGTTTGTCATCGAAACAGCTAAGTGTAATTTTCTTTAGCTGGTAGGTTCCAATCTTATGCTTGATGCTTCTGATTGTGTTCATCTTATGCCTCATCCTACCTTTAGTCTTAATCACGTTCTTAAAGTTTTCGTGAGTGAGTTTGTTTCTGATCACGTACTTTTTCACACCTTTAGCTGTCATTCCACCTCCACCACTCTCCTTCACGTAAGAGTACATCTTTGACCTTAACCCTACGAATTCAATCACCGGCACTCCCTCAGCTTCGTCCTTAAACTTTCCAATTACCTTCTTGTTATGAGCTGAGTAATACGGAGAATCTTTAGGATAATCTGAGTTGTCCCAACAATCTTTCTCTTCACCGATCCTCTTGAAGTCCTCGTACACGTCATCAGTCTTGATCTCATACATTAGACTGTCAGTGTCTGTGAAAAGGAGCTTCGACTTGTCACCGTACTCCTTTTTGATCGTGTTGTAATGGAAGTCGTACATTAGAGTCTTAGACAAATCTAAGATACTCATTCCCACGTAGCACGGCTTATTCAGAGTCAGGACTTCCTTCATTCTCTTTACCACGATCAGGCTCTCATTCATAATCCTATGTGACTGGAAGCACGGAGACGCTGTCAGTTTAAGGAGATCGTTTTCCGACGACACCAGCTTCACATCAACTCTTTTCCTTAGGTTCTCCATAGTCTTTCCATAAATGGAATTATTCATGAGCTTGAAGAAGTTCTTCTCAAACGCATTCTTAGCAGCTGATCGTTTTTGAGTATTAAAGTCAATGTACTGTTTCAGCCAAGTTGACTGCTTGAAGGAGACAGCTCTGTGGATTTTCGTAAGTTTCATTCCGAGTTCCGTATACAGTTTCAGATTCCTAACATGTAGAACGTAATTCTTCCTGGGACCTAAGGAGTTCACTAATTTCCTTACACCTCCAATCTTCAGCTGGAATTTATCGGCAATATCCTTCGCATAATCTGATAACATTGACACATCAATTTCCTTGCTTTCTGGAGCTAGAGGATATCCATTATGTTCATCATGAAGTTCTGCAGGATATTCCATATCAACTTCAAGAACCATTCCTCTTCCACTGTCTCCCAAATAGTCATCAATATTTATTTTGTCAACTTCCTCAATCCACTCAAACTCACCATTCGGAAGAGGTTGAGACATCGCCCAGCCATATAAATTGTTGGCATCGAGGTACATAAGGAACTTGTTTTCAGCTTCTTCGTCATACGTTTCCATGTACTTATTATTCGCCGTGGAGTGTCTATGAGCAATATGACTTACCCCACCTCTCATTCCCTTCTCAAAGAATTGGAACATGTCCATATCACTTACCAATTCTATTTCCTCACCTGACTGTTTTAAGAACGCGTCCCAACTTAGACTGGGTGCTGAGATGTAATGAGCAGGGTCAAGCTTGTAATTCTCCAGGCAGGTCTTCCTGAAATTCTCAAAGACATCCGCTAGCAGAAGAACGTCAGTCTCAAGATAAAGATCATGGTAGTCTCTCATTGTTTTCATTCCAAAGTGATCCCAAACTTTTTGAGCTCTTTCGTAATCTTCATCTTTCACTTCAGATTCATACAGAGATGAATAGAACTTGTCTTTACTTGGAAGCCCCTCAGAGTCTAGTTTGCTGATGTCATCTAAGTATTCATAGGGAAATATTCCTTTCTGTCTTACAAGATCGAAGTCCTCTCCTTGCCACCTCTTACCGACTATCTTGAAGTCTTCAGGTGAAAGGTTATTCACAAGTGCCTCTAGAGAAGAAGCCATGAATTGAATTGAATCAATAAACACAAGACTTTTACCTAACGAGAAGGAAATGTACTTTTCCATGTTATTTGGAATTACGTTAATATTCATCTTGAACTTGCCAATCTCCTGCATTATTAAATGACTATCATAACCTCTTAGATTATGGAAGACCACTGGAAGTTTCCATGTAATTCTATATTTCAAATTACACATATTATGAGCAGCTCCACGGAACAGTCCAGTTACGTGATCATGGTCCCTAACTCTGTCATCACCTAAGTCGCAACCACAGATGGAGCAGTTCCTTGTCATCCAGAACTCAGCTTCTTGTTCTGGTGTAATTACCATCTTTTTCTTGAAGATCTTATTTACCATTTCTCGGCACCTAATAGATTCCCTCAGAACTGTCTTCAAGAAGACCACTGTAGCGTCTTCACCAACATAACTTACATATTCACCTGAGTACTGATCATCATAATGACACACTGTCTTCAGCCCGAAACTGCAAGCTTTATGTGTTTGGTAAAGTTCTGTTGTACTCTTCTCCTCAATGCCTTCAGATTCCACTTTCCTTTCCTCAGGAACCAGTATAGACTCAAAGTCAGCATAGATTACAAATGGAGCAGGCATTGAATTTCTATAATGTCCGAACTTTATTTTTGAACCTTCATCTGGAAGCTTCGTGGCCTGAGTTCCATTTACGCTGATACACGTTTCACTATGTTTCTTTAGTGATTCCTCACTAGTGCAACTATGAAGGCAATATAAGCAGAAGTGCTTCTTGTTTGAGTTACCGCTGACACTGAAGAGCATTCTATTTACATCCTTTATTAGGACGTAGTGATTACCACCTTCGTTGTCGCCTAACAGCAGCAACTCCATATGTTCGTCATATTTGGTCTTAGAGTTCCTGATTGGGTAGAACTGCTTTTTGCCCTTATAACCGAACACTGATATGCTTATTGAGTTCTTCCTCTCAATTTTATCAATATCGCTTATCTTTACAGGGAAGTCAATACCCTCATAGTCTAGGTTCTCCGCGAACTCCCTATCTTGCTTTGTTATAGCAGTTGCCCTCCTAGCCTTCGGCCTCAGATGTCTCACATGACTCCACATAAAACATTTATTGTCATCATTTTGCATATTTATAAGACCACATTTTGGATTGCTAATGTCTGCGGGTAATTTCATATATGAACTACCCTTTAGAGGTTTATACATTGCAATATTAACGTAATGGCTTTCAATGTTCAGAATAATCCAATTTGAACCTAAGTTCTGGAAAGTTTCAATTCTGGATAAGATAGTCAGTTGGTTCTGAGCTGCAGTGCTTTCAATATCCTCAAAGTTAGTTGCAGTTCCAGTTTTTGACTTAAAGTACACTGAATCCTTCTTTGTTTTATCATTTCCGATTTCCTTGGACATTCTCACCTTAATTGTCTCCGTATATTTCAACCCTCCCATTCTCCTCAACTCATTCACTAGAATTCCCCTCACCACCTGCCTACTTGCTGTCATCTGGTCCAAGGGATCCATAAAGTTTGGAGTTATTGAGTAAGTCACCGCTGCACCATTTGCGGCGGTTTCTATCTTTCTATGAGAAGGCTTCTCAAGATATGTTCCAAATGGATCAATCTCATGTTTCTCTGGTGTGACCACTGCGGGCTGTTCCTTAACTTCTTTCGTTGCCTTCACAGGCTTTCTTAACTTTGGAGGAGGCACTGGCTTTTTAGTTCTAGGCTTAGGAACAGGTCTTTCTTTAGGGAACACTGTCCTTGGCTTAGGAACAGGTCTTTCTTTAGGGAACGCTGTCCTTGGCTTAGGAACAGGCCTCCATGGAGCTACACCTTTTGGCACCTCAGGAGCTTTCCTTGTTGGTCTTTTGTTTAGATCCACCGTCACCGTGAACTTATTAGGTCCCACCTGGGTTATCACACTATCCGCAGGAATCGAGAGTTTTATTTTCTTTTGAGCCATAAACCTCTCCGCGACACTTTGCTTCTTAACCTTTGGTGGTCTTCCACGTTTCTTTGGAATCACAACCTCAGCCTCAGACTTAACCTTTGCTGGTCTTCCACGTTTCTTTGGAATAACAACCTCAGTGTCAACCTTAGCCTTTGGTGGTCTTCCACGTTTCTTTGGAATTGCAACCTTGGCATCAGATTTAGCCTTTGGCGGCCTTCCTCTGGGACGTTTAGGATTCCTAATATTCTCTAGCCTCTTCATCTCCGCATTAACTTGAGGATCATCAGTTCTCCATCTACCTCCCATTGTTGGTGGTAAACCCTCAACTCCCTGACTGAGTAGACTTTGATATGCCTCCTCAACCAGCAAAGCCTTTGCCTTCTGTCTCTCGGAATATTTCCACGTCGGCATAATTCCCCTCTCACCCTTCTCATTCAATGGTCGTCTTCGTGCTCTTCTTGGGTCAGTAGAACGGTCGCCTTCATCTATGAATTGTCTTTCTCCTTCAAAGAGATCTTTGCCCTTATCCTTAGGTGCAACTCGATAGAATTTGTCCTCAGATATTCTCAACTTCATCCTCGAAATCACTAATGTCGCTATCATCAACTATCTCGCTAAGTGCCATAAGTTGTTCAACGGTCATGTTGTTCATGTCAAAGTTTGTCGCCATTTTTCACTCTTTCTCTATATACTATAGGTAAAAAAAAATAGGCCTATTTAAAGGCCTATTTAATTTTGTATTTAATTTAATATTTTTATTTAATTATTTATTTTTATTTAATTATTTATTTTTATTTAATTAATAATTTTTTATTTAATTTAATATTTTATTTAATATTTTATTTATGTCTAAATTTCCAGTTATTATAATATTTACAATTTTCCGGTTCCCATCCCAACTCGGGGAAAACCTTTCCATATAGTCTGTCCTCAAGGATGTTCACAATTCTTTGAGTCTTAATGTCCTCAGGTGGGTTTCTCAACATGATGTTGTTCATGCTGGCTAACCTTAATAGGTAAAACTTATATCTAACTATGTTGCGCCCCCGTTGCAGTCTAAGTCTTTGTATACATCTTACAATGCTTCTAAACTGCTCCCGTATGGTATCCCTATCCCCAGAAGCAACATGCTCGAATAAGTGTCTCTCAAACCAACGGACTCTATTATGGGACGATTTCTTTTTCAAGTAGTCGTCCTTGTTGTGATTGTAACTAACGTAGTATGTGAAGTTGTTCATAGCACTAGTTCCGCAACGTGTGCATGTATCTGCTCCATCTATTACCACAATTGACTTACTACCACATTCACCACACGCCGGATCGCGTGCGTGTTTCACCTTCATTTTATTTCTCACGTATTTCATTACTGCAACCTCTAACTCCTCAATGTTGTTTGCGTTCTTACCGACTCGTTCCATTTCATCAGGTGTTACCAGTGTCAGCCAGTCCATCCCCTATACTATATGTGTTAAAATTTTCTGCTTGTTTTTGTGGTTTATTTTTACGTCTCCTTATTATTCGCCATTCCACATATTTTTTGACTGCGGCCTCTAGTTCTTCTATGGTGTCCACCCTTTTTCCCAAGGCCACCACTTCGTCAACGTCTACCATTGCAAGCCAATTCATTTCTCTATATTATATATGTAAAAGAAAATTACCGTATTTTTTATAGCAATAAATAAGCTGCCCCTCCAACCGCCCCACCTATAATTAAACCAAAGATTGCCATATATTCTTCCATCTCAGAGCTAGGTTTGTAGTGATTGCTTAACTGCGGCCTTCTCGGCACAGCCTTACGTGTTAACTCATTGATTCTTCTAACGAGTTCCAGTGATTTGTTTGTTGCATTAATATCCCTATTTGCCTCAGCTAATTCTGACTTCAGTTGGGCAAGTCTGTTTCTCCTATCAGTGACCTCTTCAAGGTACTTCTCTCTTTCAGCTGTTAGGTTCTCCATTGCAATGTTATGTCTGTGGGCTTCCTTAGCATATCCATTCTTATCAAACATTTTAAATAGGTATCCTGCTCCGGCAAATGCAAATGCATTAAAAAGTCCTCCTGCTACTGCTGACGCCATTGTATAGTTTTACCTAGGTTTTAAATGGATCATCTGGTATATACTTCTTATCTTTCAAGTAAGATACTAGTAGGGATGAAAGGCTAACTGAGACAGCTAGCTTTACCATTCCTTTTACATTCTCTGGGGTCCCCAACGGTTCTTTTAATAGTTTTTTCGATGCCATTGATATACCAACTGCTCCTGCTGTAAGTAACACTGCGTTGTACACTTCCGCGGTCATCTTTGATTCTTTACTCATCTTGCTATAATATATATTATGTTTAACGTATCATTCAAGTGAATCTAACTTGGACTCGTCAACTTTCCTAGTTATCTCGACAGTCTCAGTTACGTGCTTAGGTTCCGGTTCCCTGGTTTCCCTCTGATGCGACTTGAATGCTAGCACTAGAGATACCAGTGCAATGGCCACTCCTATGTAGGTAATCATACTATCATTACTTGATGTCTCCTTAGGTTGCGCAAGTTTCTTTTTCCTCTCCTTTGCTATTTTGCTGATTGCAGCTAATCGTTTTCCTGCGGCTACTCTCTTCGGGTCCTTCTTCTTCTCACTTGTTACTTGTTCTCGGATTTGCTCAGGTTTATCTTCCATTCTACTTGTAAGATACCTTAGGTTTAACTGGGTTTAGTCTTATGAAACATCTTAGATTCTACTTGTGAGATAACTTGAATCTGTTTGTAAGATGTCTCAAATTTACTTGTAAGATAACTCGGATCTACTGGTGAGATAACTGGTGAGATAACTCAGATTTGCTTGTGAGATAACTCAAAACTTACCTGGATTAAACCTTGGTCTGTACGTCTTCACGTCGCAAACTGCATTCTTCACTATGGTCTTTCTTACAGTCTTCTTAAGTGAGAAATACTCATTGATTCTAATGCAAGTCTTTACTAGATCATCTGATACCATTGTCATGTACCCTATTCCCCTCAATTTCCTAAACCATATATCCTGATTCTCACTTATAACTCCGGTGCCCTTGGGAGACTTAAATTCAATAGCAAATCCTTTGTACTTTCCCATAGGATTCTCTATGATAAGATCTGGTTGACCACCTTTATATCCCTTCTTCCAGGCATCACACCTTCTTGACACTGTATCCTGATACTCACCTAGACCAGGTACTATTACAGCCTCTGGGTAGTTATCTCTAATGTAACTTACAATGGCATTATGAAGGTCCGTTTCATTTAGAAGGATTATTTGGTTGTATCTAAGTGACCTTCTATCTGGTAAGTTATAAGAGCCTGTTTTGCGGATAGATGGAAGAACCTCACTAAGCACCCAGTCCTGAAAGGCCTCTGCTGTTGGAAGTCTTGAATTAAATAGTAGCTGGTACAATCCTGGTTCATATAGTAGTATTGTCTGCGGGTGGTACTTTTCCAAGGGGAACTGGCTGGGTACCCTTGGAATTTCTCTCACCATTGTCTTGTTTATATTCCACACATTATCTCTAATAGCTTTTTTCGTGTTCGTGTACCCCAGAGACTCTGCCACATCTTTTGCGTGAAATAGTATCTCATCACCTTTTCTGATAGTTCTTATGCTAACGTTCAACTCCTGATTTCTGAATAGTTTTTCCATCTTTCCCTATACTATATATGTAAAAATTTTTGGGCTTATTTTACGGCTATTTTATTTTGATTTATTAGTACTGGTTAAAATAAACTATAAGACCTGCCCTTCAAGGTGGTACCCTCGAGGGCACCCCTTTTGAATTAACAAGAGTGGTTATATTATAACCTTTCTCAAAGAGGGGCGATTCACCCCTCTTTCCTTATCCTAGTATCAGCATTCCCTCTACCCACCCAGCTGCTTACTACGTACTTCCTACAACAAATAAAATACTACATTTCATGTAATTTCTTATATATCTTTACGACTGTTTTCACCATATCATCTTTGAATGCCTGGTATTCATACTGGAGTGGTCCTATGATCTTATTCTTAAGGTTGTACAGGTCCTTCTCTACAGAGAACAGTGTTGCTGAGTTCTTCTTAAGTAAGCTTTCTGTTGAATCAAGTGCTGACTGGGTTTTATCTAACTGCTTCTTATTCGCGTCGGTCTTCTCAATCAGTTCATTAATTATGTCTTCAAATTCAGTTCCTTCCCAGGCGTTTCCCCAATCGTACGGCTCTCTAAGTTGAGACATTCTTCTTCACTATGTAATAAGATATGTTTTGCTTCCTCAGATATTTCCTCAGTCTTTCCCTTCTTCTTCCACTTGTGAGCTACCACATGCTTAGCTGTTGTGCATCCACCTGATATGAGACCTATGAATGGGATGTTTGGGGATATCGTTCTAGTTAAATAACATACGTCATCCTTTAAAAGCTTATCACTAAGTAGTTCCTCTGACAGCTTCTCAGAAGATTCCACCGCATTAAAACTTCCTAGTATGGAAGCAAACTTTGAGATAATAAGTGTTGATAAGAAGTCACTTGCGCATGACATCCTCTGACTTTCATACTCACTGTAAAGTCTATCTATAACATCTTTGTTGGACTTTCTTATGAAACCTGCGGTCTTATCAATTACACCATCCTTAGATAGCTCAATAAGCTTATTCCTTTTGTGTTCAGTTTGCGACTTATCTGCGGTGGGCCTAGTTTTTCTTGCTTTCTTTTGCGGCGCCTTTGCGGCCTCCTCTACTTCTCTCACAGCCCTGGATATTTCTTCCTCAGATTCTGATTCCATCTTCTATATTCTACGCGGTGTTTAGTTTAATAGTGTATGTGTAAGGGTGAATAAGTAGTATATCTAGTGCGGTGAACTTCTCATCTTTTAGTATTTTTGTAATCTCTGTAATTGTCTCCTGAGGGACACCACTCAGGTAATCATCTGTTATGACCTTCATATCTCTGCGACTAGGGTTGTAAAATGTAACTAACCTGGAAATGTTCTCCCTAAATGGCTTTGCTATTGATGACAGTTGTTGGGTAATTACAATGACAGATATATTGTAATGTCTTGCGGCGAATGCTAGGCGCACCAGTTCTGAGACTCTTTTCTTTACATCTTGACTTGCAGCACAATCGTCCACTATGATGAGAGTCTGAGTACCGCGGAATATGGTGGACACTGCCTTCAGAACTAGATTGATCATTTCTTGTGAACATGGAATTTGTATGACTCCATGATCACTAATATGAGCCCAATTAATGTAAGTCATATTCCATTCTATTGTTGGACATATAATCACAATATAATCGAAAACTTTATTGTATTCCGTTTCTAACATATTAAGTAAGAACTGAGTCTTTCCACTTCCAGTCATTCCTACTATGAGCATATTAAATGGTGGCTCTAGATTCATCTCTATGCTTTACCATATGTGTGGACTCTAGTACCGACTACGTCAGTAGACACTGCTAGCGCAGCTAGTACTCCGCAGGCTACGTAAATGGCACTGGTGCCATTAGTATTGAATACTTGATAGATCTCTACTAGCAAAGTTAAGTAGAGCATCTGATACAACAAAAATGTTGCACTGAACATCTGCTGTTGTGGCTCTCTTATTAATTTCCATAAGTACTCCAGACTGTGTGTTAACAATCTTTCTTCCTCCTCCAGTGGTATCATCCTGAGTTGACCTTAGATCTACTACTAAGGCGAAACCATCGCTGAAGAACTTACTGATGGACATAAATTCGTCTGCCATGGATTTCTCACACATAGGACAAAAGAATCTTTTTGCCTCTTCAAAGAACCTACTTTTAGGAAGTCCTTGGGAGAAGACCGCATTAGGTACACCTTCAATGGTTAGGTTCACTTTATCAATGTTTGGGTAAATATATTCTTCAGAATTGGTTCTCACTCTATTGGTAAATAGAAGGACAATTGCTGACATGCTCTTTCTGGGGATATTTATGTTTTCATTGACAATGGTAAGATCCTTGTCCCAATTACTTGTGCGCATAAGCGTGACGTGTTTGTAGGATAGTGAGCGACCTGTTGAATACATCCTTGATACTTCACCTGCAAGGGTGTCACTCTCAATGGTCTCATATTCTAACTCGAGGTTATCAAGTTTATAATTACCCTTAGCTTCACCTCCTTGAGCCGTCATAATCTCATCTGATCCGGGTAGTGTGAGAATGTACATAGGATTGTTGTTCATGTAGAATGGTACGTAGAGTCCATGGTCTGCGATTATTTTATCAATTGGTTTTCTCAGCTTAGAGCCGTACACACTGTGGAGAAGTGCATCTGCTACTTTACCTGCATTACCAACTTTTACTCCTGAGTCGTCGCCTGAGATTAGCTTTCTCAGGTTTTCACTTCCGAGGCCCTGTTCTGTCATCTTATTTCTGTCACCCTGTGTTAGCCATAGATCCCTGTATATTTCGTACAAACTCTCTCCTGAACAGTCATAAGCTGTTTCACCGGCTACTTTAATCTGAAGACGTTTAGCTATCAACTTAGACAGGTTATTATTAAAGTGGCTTTTTGTATTGGAATTTTTGAAGTCAAATAATAGTGCAAGCGAACCTGGAACTAAACAAGAGTCAGGCTTTAGTTTAGGGATGTTAATGTACAGCTCTTCTCCCGGGCTAATTGTTGTTGGATTGAAAGTTACAACGCTTCTAGTTCTAAGTCCCCTTATGGATGTCATACGGCTTCTCCTGAAGCCAGGCTGGAGTTCTCTTTCTGTGGTATTCATGCTTTATACAATATGTAATGTTTAGTGGTAAAAGTATAAGGCTATTCCTACAACTATTGCTATTTTCCATAAGTTTGATGATATGAATTTAATTAGTTTGTTTGCTACATCAGGGAGTGGTCTGGGTTGTGAATCTGAACCTGAACCTTTATTTGAAAAGTTTGCTGCTTTTGAGGAAAGTTTCCTGGTCTGTATAATGACAGCTGTAAGGAGAGCAGCAACTGATATTATTATACCTACAATCACAACTCCGAAGTTATCTTCAACCCATGATTTGAATCTTTCATACCTCGTTAGATCTTCTCTAACATCCTTCACCATTGTTTCTGTGCTATCACCACTGAATATAGGTTGATCGTCTTCCGGGATACTATCCTCTGCGACTTGGAATAGAAGACTCTCAAAGTTGTAAGTATTATCTACCCATTCAGTGTCAGGACCTGCGGGCTCCTCAGACTTATCACCTGTATCTACCTTCTTAGGTTCCTTGAATTCAGGTTTCTTAGGTTCTTTACCTTTGGGCTTTTTAGGTTCCTCAGGTTGAGGCTTCTTAGGTTCTTTAGGTTGAGACTTCTTTGGTTCCTCAGGTTTAGACTTTTCCTTTTCCCATTCTTCAAGCTTTTTTCTCCAATACTCTGTTTTCTCCTTATCATCTTTCAAGGATTCTAGTTGTCTTTTAATCTCAGCTTCTGCATTCTTTTTGCGCTCTACTTCAGCAGCTTCTGCGAGCCTCTTACGTTCCAACTCAGCTGCTTCTGCGAGCCTCTTACGTTCCAACTCAGCTGCCTTTCTTCGGTCCTCTTCCTCCTTCTTCGCAGCTTCTTCCTTCCTGCGTTCTTCTTCCTCCACTTCTAGCTCCTTCTCAGGCTCATTAGGATCGAAACCTAAGTTTTTTATAATTTCCTTCAACCTGTCTATTCTTCCTGAGTAGTTGTTCCTTCTAACTTCAGCCTTAGCTATTCTCTTGAGTACAACTAGGGTTTTTACCTCTTCCTTGAGAGTGTTGTGGGTTGCGTCTAGGTAGGCCTCAGTTTCTGAATTCTTCCAGACCTTCATTCTTCTAAGTTGGCTGACATATTCAATTTCTCTTTGAATATCTTCTCCCTCATCTGATTCTCCTGTTCCCATTTGCCTCCGTAGAATATCTATTTCAGAGTCCATATCTTCAGGTTCCATTTCCCTGCAGTTTGGGTATAATCTATCTAGTTCATCTAATTCCTCAGCTCCGAAGTCTCCTCCCCATATCTCAGAATATTCACTACTGTATTCATCAAGGATGGTGCTTACCCTTTCCATCCATGCTGCTTTGTATTCTACACTTTCAGCCATTTATACTTTACTTAGTATAATAGTTATATATAATTAAGGAGGCAGCTACAACTAGTACCCATAAGTGTGACGCTAACCAAGCAATTCCTTTGGCTCCCCATGATAGCGCAGTTGCAATTGCATTCAGGATTGGAACTAGAATTGGTCCTGCTTTCTTTGCTAAATTTGCTAGTGCTTTTGCTACCTTACCAGTGGCCTTTCCTGTCTTCACAAGGGCTCCCCTAGCATGTATAAGTAAGGCTGTAATTAAACTAGCTGTTGACACTGCTATCCCCACAAGTCCCACTTTTTCCTTTCCTACCCAGTCTATAAATTTACGTAATCTAGAAATATCTTCCAACTGTGCCTCTCTTGCTTCCTCTATTGTTCTCTGCTCTAGTGTCCTATCCCTGGCTTCCCTCAAACTGTCAATTCTTTCTAGGAGGGAATTATACTCAGTTGTACCTTCTGCAGAGGTGGCGCGTTCCACGGTTTCACCAATGGCTTCATTAAAGTAGTCAGCTTGAATTTGTAACGCTCCATTGGGACCTGTTCTGCCTTCTATGCTTGATCCATCAGGTGGGTTAAGAACACCTCTCAGTTCATTATTTTCTTGCATTGTTAGCCCTGGAAGGTCTCCTAGTTTTGCGCTTATGTCTATTAACTCGATGTTCTCACGGTCAGCGTATTCTTCGTCACTGCCATCAAATTGCGGCTCTTCTCTAGTATCCTCGTAAATTGATTCATCACTTCTAATTATATCGTCAGGATTCGTAGGTACCTCTTTTATTTTCTTTATAAGTTCCTTATATTCTCTTAATGCAATAGAGTTCTTGGAGTACACGAGTTTGCTGGTCTTACCACGTTTCATTATCTGGGTGCCACTCTTGTCAATACCTTGTTCACTTCTAAATACCAACACCTCTGTGCCATCGTTGAGTGTTCTTACAGATGATCGTTTTATGAGTTCCCTGACGTATCTATTCTTAGGGTCTAGTACTAGTCCTTCCTTACCCTTGATAACTCTTGCGACAGCTTGAACACGCTCCACTTGGTTTTCAAAATCTCTCTTTTTATTTGCTGTAAGTCGGTCTTCTGAGAACTTTTTTAGTTTCTCTAGGCGGGCTTCTATTTCATCCCAGTCAGCGTCAAATGATTCGTTGAATGCATCTAGCACATCTGGAAGTACATTGTTTGGGTCTTCCACGAAGTTGACTTCTGGGACAGTTGTGCTTCCTGATGGACCTGAAATGTTCACTGTACCATCATTTCCTTCGGTGAAAGTTGTTTCTTCTATTGCCCGTCTCTCCATGAGATCCTTTACATAGTCCAGTTCACTTTTAAGATCAGTTAATACTATAGGGTCATCACCATACATAGCCTCTCCCTTCACCCTTGTATCTAACCTACTAAAAGCTGTCGTTAGGTCATCATAATTAAGGTCGTCATATTGAGGATACGTCTTTTCTGTCTCCTCTAACTCAATGTCATCATAGTCCTCCATAATACTTTAACTTATGTTAGGGACTTGATGTCTCCAGCTGGTATCCAACTGTTAAATTTGTCATCATAACCTAACCACTTAATGAGAGCCATCTTTTTACCCTTCAATGTTCTTCTCTTTAGTACTTTTTCTATTCTGAAATCAGGTTCTCTTCCTTCAGCGCTATACAGTTCTTGTTCATAGAATCTGCCAATTATTGGTTCATCAGCACTGTCTTTTATTGAATACGTGTTTGGATGACCGTGATACACTTCCGTCACAGTGAACAACTCCTCTGTGAAATTTGCTTCATATCCTTTTGTGAACACTGATTTGTACTTTGAAATTCTAACACTTTCTCCGACAGCAAACTTTGGTTCTGATGGCTTGCCTAAATTGTGACTAAAAAGTGTCTTCCATACTTCAGTCCAATTGGAATCATTTACACTGTCCGGTGTTGTTTTAATTGATCTATTCACTGAACTGTTGTAATTATCAGTTAAGTCTTGAAGAACGTCTAACCATTTATATGTACTGGCACTGTAAAAGTACTTCCACATTAGCGCTTTCAGTGTTCTGTTAAATCTTTCCACAACGGCGGCCTTTTTATCTGAGTAAGTAGAGAAAAACTCAATGTTATGTTTATTGAGCAATGACTTTACATCTTTGTTGTAGAACTCTGTGCCTTGATCAAACTGGGCGAATTTTGGGTATTTACCAAAGTGATTATTAAATTGCTCTAAAATGTTACTGACTGCGTCCTTCATTGATGTCGCGTTTTTCCTATACACTGGTACTGTGAATGCGTACCTACTCAGTATTTCAATTGATGTGAGAATCCATCGGTATCCCTTGTTCTTGTCGTCATATTTTGTCATGTCAACTAAATCCATTTGTAACTGTTCACCTAAAGTTTGAACGTACGTCTGTCTGAACTTATGTTTCCTAAATACTTGTCTGTACCTAGTGTATGTGTCCTGCTCGTTTATCCATTTCTTAACCTGGTTTCTGGTTACTTTAAGTCCGTCTGATATTGCTCTAAGATATAGTTTCTCTGGTGTCTGGAATCCAGTCTTAGGATTGTAGTAAATATCTCGTAGTCCCTGTTCTTTCATAATATCATCATCCATCTTATATTAACCAATGTAAGCTAACTACCGACTACGTTAGTAGACGCCAATAACTAAGTTATTGCTCAAGGTACATCTCAAGTAGCACTTCACCTATATCAGTAGGTTTCCCGTCTTGATCTGTCATGTGGAATATAAGTTCTGAGAAAGAACCCTTGATAACTGAAATCCTGCTTTCAACATCAATGTAACTAACAACTGAGCCTAATAATGGTCTGTCAGTTGGAACTGTAACACTTGTTATTACATCGCTGGGTCTTCCCCAAGGGTTAACGTTGTAACTGTTACTAACTAGGTTGCAGTGTATATTTACGTATCGTAGACCATTATTAAAGTCAACTTTGCTATCACTTGTCAAACTCCTCCCTTTTAGTAGAATCATAGGATTATTAAATCTATTAAAACCCAACATAGTCAGTAATCGTGTTTCTACGGTAATATCCTGTTTTATAGCCTCTATTTGGCAGGATGCTGTTTCAGCAAAGTAGGTTAGTTTAACACCGTGTCTTTCAAGTAACTTCTTTATACTGTCAAATGTGTAGTAACCTTTATTAATAATTACATCAGATTCTCCATCATCTGTTTTCACTTTGAGAATAGTTGTTGGTTCCCTTATATTGAAGTATTCCCAGAACACTGAAACTCTCTTCATAAAGACCGAATTATAGTTGCTTGTTATAACTGAATTCTGGAGTGGTATGATAGTGTGCCGACCTTTAAGTAAAATTGTGCACTTCATCTTAATAACATACGTTAGGTTATTAGAAAATGGAATACCCAATTAGAAGAAAACATCTTTTACATCCGGGCGACCCCATAAATGCCTCCGATCACTATAGCATGAGTAAGGAATGGATAGACTACCAGCAACATGGTGAAGTTGTAAAGGACCCACATTACTCACATAAGAAAAAGCCTACTCCTGTAGACCCTCAACGTAAAACAAAGGTTGTCGCCCCTACTAGTAAAACTACAGGAAATGTGTGGCCGAAGTTATGGGATAGTGGTGGTGAAGTTCAGAAGATAAGTTTTACTGAAGGTGATCCTATTATTGGAAAGTACCCTCCTCTTACAAAAGT